GTAGCGTCCTTGCTCCTAGTAGCGATGCCCTCTGTTACCAGTAGCTTCTTGTTACTAGTAGTAAGGTCAGGAGCTCCTAGTAGCAACCTTGCTCCTAGCAGCGATGCCCTTTGTTGCTATAGTAGCTTCTTGTTACCAGTAGTAAGGCCAGGCGCTACTAGTAGCGTCCTTGCTCCTAGTAGCGACTCCTTTTACTAGTAGCTTCTTGTTACTAGCAGTTTGGCCAGGAGCTACAAGTAGCGCCCTTGCTCCTAGTAGCGATGCCCTGTACTAGTAGCTTCTTGTTACTAGCAGTAAGGCCAGGAGCTACTAGTAGCCTCCTTGCTCCTAGTAGCAACGCCCTTTACTAGTAGCATCTTGTTACTAGCAGTAAGGCCAGCAGCTACTGGTAGCGTCCTTGCTCCTAGTAGCGATGCCCTTTGACTAGTAGCTTCTCGTTCCTAATAGCAAGGCCAGGATCTACTAGTAGCGTCCTTGCTCCCAGTAGCGATGCCCTTTGTTACCAATAGCTTCTTGTTACTAGTAGTAAGGCCAGGATCTACTAGTAGCGTCCTTGCTCCCAGTAGCGATGCCCTTTGTTACTATAGTAGCTTCTTGTTACTAGTAGTAAGGCCAGGAGCTACTAGTAGCGTCTTTGCTCGTAGTAGCGAATGCCCTTTGTTACTAGTAGCTTCTTGTCAATAGTAGTAAGGCCAGGAACTACTAGTAGCGTCCTTGCTCCTAGTAGCAATGCCCTTGGCTACCGGTAGCTTCTTGTTACTAGTAGTAAGGCCAGGATCTACTAGTAGCGTCCTTGCTCCTAGTAGCGATGCCCTCTGTTACCAGTAGCTTGTTGTTACTAGTAGTAAGGTCAGGAGCTCCTAGTAGCAACCTTGCTCCTAGCAGCGATGCCCTTTGTTGCTATAGTAGCTTCTTGTTACCAGTAGTAAGGCCAGGCTACTAGTAGTGTCCTTGCTCCTAGTAGCGATGCCCTTTGTTACTATAGTAGTTTCTTGTTACTAGTAGTAAGGCCAGGAGCTACTAGTAGCGTCTTTGCTCCTACTAGCGATGCCCTTTGCTACTAGTAGCTTCTTGTTACTAGTAGTATGGCCAGCAGCTACTAATAGTGTCCTTTCTCCTACTCTGTTACTAGTAGCTTCTTGCTACTAGTAGTAAGGCCAAGAGCTTCTAGTCGCGTTCTTGCTCCTAGTAGCGATGTCCTGTGTTACTAGTACTAGTAGTAAGGCTAGGAGCTACTAGTAGCGTCCTTGCTCCTAGTAGCGACGCCCTTTGTTACTATAGTAGCTTCTTGTTACTAGTAGTAGGGTCAGGAGCTAATAGTAGCGTCCTTGCTCCTAGTAGCGATGCCCTTTGTCGCTAATAGCTTCTTGTTACTAGTAGTAAGGCCAGGACCTACTTGTAGTGTCCATGCTCCTAGTAGCGACGCCCTTTACTAGTATCTTCTTGAGACTAGGAGTATGGCCAGGAGCTACTAGTAGCGTCCTTGCTCCTAGTAGCGACGCCACTTACTAGTAGCTTCTTGTTACTAGCAGTATGGCCAGGAGCTACTAGT